CTCGGCAGGACTTGTCCTTTTGATCCCCACAACAGCCCTTTAAATATATACTTTTCCCTCTACTCACACAGCAGCTGCCCTAGTCTGGACCCATATCACCTTTCACCTAGACTATCTCACCTACACTATTATGACAGTCTCCTACTTTGTCTCTCTGCCTCAGTCTCCCCTCTCCAATTTATCCTTCAGATAGCTGCCAAACTAATTTTTGTAAATTACCGTTCTGACCACGTCACTACAATGACATTAAACTCCCATGGTTCCCTATTGCTTGTAGCATCAAATATTGGGTTTCCCAAAATTCCTAGTGCAGGTGAAAGCTTTAGTACTTTAGTAATTTTAAAGCTAGTGAAGCTTTCACCTGCACTAGGAATTTTGAGATTCTCTCTATATATTCTTCTGTTTGGTTTTTGAAGTCCTTTAAACCTGTTCCTGACCTACCTTTCAGTCTTTTTCATTACTCCTCTTCCCACATCACATGCAACACTCCACCTCCTACCTTTGCACAGGCTGTCCTCTATGTCTGGAATGTTCTCCTTCTTCACTTCTGCCTCTTGGAACCCCTGCTTTCCTTTAGGACTCAGTTCTTGCTGCCTTATGCATAAGGCTGTTCTACATCCACTCAACTGCTAGTGCCTTCCTAACTCCCCAAACCCTGCCTCCCACCCCGCTTACTTTGTGTTAGTTTTACATGTGGTTTATTTATACTGATATGTGGACATGTTTTCTATCGTGGTGGAATGTAAAGGCCTTGAGGGCAGACTCTTTCATTTATGTCTTTGCTTTGCTAGTACCAAGCTCAATGCCTAGCCTATAGGCATTTAATAAATGCTTTCTGGTTGTTACAATTTAGTCAGGAGGATAAGACATGAACACAAATGACTATAATAAAAAGTAGATTAAAAGAACTCAGGAGAGATGAAAACAAATAGAGATAGGTTCTGGTTCTTTAAAGATAGGCACAACATGTTGAAATCCAGGTAAATATTGCAGAGGGAATAAATACTCCACTGCCCAATTGCGGGCTAATTATGGCATCTCTCTTTACCTTTTCAGTTGAATCCACTTCTCAATTCCTATTTCTAAGCACATTTTAAGGAGTTTCACTGATGGGTTCATCTCACTTATCTTTAGCTTTGTAGCTGTAAGACTGCTCTTCCAAAGCGTGCAACTCTTTTGGTTGGCTTTGAGTAATTCTTTATGCTTTCCTGCTTTTTCTAAAGATTGATATGAGGATAAGCACATATGTGTCAACAGATTAATTTTAAAATTTAGATAATTGAACAAATACATTAAATACCCATTGTATCCTGACTACTATGCTATGATGATGAGGGAGAATAAAGAGTTTAGAGAAGATACTGTTACTATCCTAGAGCTTACAGAGGAGATAAAAAGTTGTCTATTATTCACAATAATAAATCATAATTAGAGTAGAAAGATGTAAATGAGAGTGCTAAGTGAGGTTGGATCATGTCATATTTTTTTTTACACTGTTGGTCTGGTTTTGACAATTGGTCTCAAAAGACATCCAGTGTCCAACTTTGGGCTAAACTATATTCTAACTGGAAAGTGTACATATAGTATGTGTGGAAAGAGTTGATCAGGATACCCTTGATCAATTGCTTCTCTCCTAATATCTTAGTTCATTTGACAAAATATTATAAGATAGGGGATAGACAACAGAGGAAACACAGATATTTGTTTAAATGAAGCATAGGTTAGTGTAAATAAAACCTTATATTTTGTTACTCTAATGAGGTATGAAGTTTTTAAGTAAAAAATAGAATTAGAAAGCAGCTAACCATTGGCTGGTTAAAGATTGGTCACACTGCTATTGACCCTTTGGAAAGTGATTCATACTTTCTCAATTGTCAGTTGAGGCAGGACATTTTTCCAAGGAGCATAACCTCTGACAGTAGAAAAGAAAGCCAGCCAGCTATAGATTAAGAAGGCTGCTTTGGAAAGGGAATCATTCCTCACCTCTCTAGTGGGAAGGGCTTTCTCTCTCTTCCATTCTTCCCCCCTTCAGCCATGACATCTTTTTTTTTTTTGTTGCACTTACTAGTATTTTATTTTTTCCAATTACATGTAAAGATAGTTTTCAACATTCACTTTTATAAGATTTTGAGTTCCAAATTGTTTTTCCTCCTTCTCTCCCAAAGACAGCAAGGAATCTGATATAGTATATACATGTACAATCATATTAAACACATTTCCACATTAGTAATGCTGTGAAAGAAGAATCAGAACAAAAGGGAAAAACCACGAGAAAGAAAAAAACAAAATAAAAAGTGAAAATAGCATGCTCCGATCTGGATTCAGACTTCATAGCTCGTCCTCTGGATGTGGATAGTATTTTCCATCACGAGTCTTTTGGAATTGTCTTTGTATATAATTTGTCATTGTATTGCTGAAAAGAACCAAGTCCATCAAAGCTGATCATCGCACAATGTTGCTGTTACTGTGTACAATGTTCTCCTGGTTCTGCTCACTTCACTCAGTATCAATTCACGTAAGTCTTTGCAGGTTTTTTTGAAATCTGCCTGCTCATCATTTTTTATAGAACAATAGTATTCTATTACATTAATATACCGTAACTTGTTCAGCCATTCCCCAATTGATGGGCATCCCCTCAATCTCCAATTCTTTGCCACTACAGAAAGAACTGCCATAAATGTTTTTTGTACATGTGGGTCCTTTCCCCTTTTTTATGATCTCTTTGGTATATAGACCCAGTAGTGGTATTGATGGATGAAAGAGTATGCAGTTTTATAGCCCTTTGGAGTTCCAAATTGCTCTCCATATCAGCCATGATCTGGAGTAGGTCTACTTACCCAATAGCAATCTATGTACTCAGCATGGAAAAGGAGTGAAACAAGGTGATAGTTCTGAGGAATATGACCACTGTGAGATGAGAAGAGAGCCATCCCTGGGAGCTGAGCTTGGAAATGAACAGGTCCATAAAGCCTGGCAGAGTGGTATGCTCATTAAAGACACTATATCAGGAGGAGTTGTATGAGGATATCATGAAAAGGGAAAGGATATTGGTTCCCTATAGTGCCTTTGAGTTACCTTGGCCATATGAGATTGCTATGTGTGTTTCTTTCTACTAGTATTCACCATATATGTACTCACTCTTTCTACTCATTCTGTGTGTAGTTGCGCGAGAATGCTTCAATAGTTTTATTGAAAGTGGTGGTGGTCATTTGTTGTTATTGTTCTTGTAAAGCTATGTTAATAAATGTCTCTGCTTTGAGATAATTCTTTCTACTGGCTGACTATTAAAGGTAAGTGCACTAGTGGGGGCTTATAGTGTTAGGAATACAAACTCACCTTAAACTTTGGGGTAGTCACTCAACACAACCTTCTCCATCCCTTGGGACACAAACTGCAATTATAAATGGAGAGATAGCCCAAATGGAGCACTACACACATATATAGACATATATGAAATACATTCAAAACAAATATAAGATAACCTGCAGTAGGGGTGGGAAGGTACTAGAAGGCCTCAAGAAAGGCCTTATGCAGAAGGTGGCACTTGAACTGAGTTTGAAGGAAACTAGAGATTTATGAAGGTAAAGAAGGAAAATATCACCAAGCACAGAGGACATCCAATGTCAAGGCCAATTGTGTAATAGATACAATCAGGGCAATTTCTACTTTTCTGCCTTTCTCTTGAATAGCAGTTCACTTGATCTTGCTCCAAATTTATTCTTGCTTTTTCTAATAAGGACACTATGTCCTTCTATCTCTGATAACACATTTGGAATATAAAGTGCTTCCTTCATGATAAGTGCTATGACATAGTGGAAAGGTCAATGGATTTGGAGTCAGAGGACCTGTGTTTAAAACCTGGCTCGCCCCTTACTAGTTATATCATCCTGGGAAGGTCCCTTTGTTTTTCTGGGGTTCGGTTTCTTCATCTGTAAAACCAGGGGGTTGGGTTAGAGGATTGCTAAGATTCCTCCCAATTCAAAATCTTGTGGAAAATATCAGGTCTGGCAAACACAAGATGACACATATGCCAGAAACAGAGAAATTCTTTTTAAAATTAAAAAACTTATTTAGTATTTTATTTTTCCTCAGTTACATGTAAAAACAATTTTTAACATTCATTTTTTAAAACTTTGAGTTTCAAATTTGCTGCCTTCATCCTTCCCCCTCTTCCCCCACATTGAGAAGGCAAGTGATTCAATATAGGTTATACATGTGTAGGCATGCAAAACATTTCCATAATAGTCATGTTGTGAAAGGAAACAGGCTAAAACAACAACAACAACAAGAAAAATAAAGAAAGTAGAAAAAAGTATGCTTCAATCTGTATTCTAACACCCTCAGTTCTTTCTCTGGGGATGGATAGCATTTTTCATTCTAAGTCCTTCAGAGTTGCCTTGGATCATTGTATTGCTGAGAATAGTTTAGTCATTTCATAGCTGATCATCTTACAATATTGCTATTACTTTGTAAACAGTACATTTCATTTTACATCAGCTCATGTAAGTCTTTCCAGGTGTTTCTAAGAGCATCCTCCTCATCATTTCCATCATAATCACACACCACACTTTGTTCAGCCATTTCCCAATTAATGGGCACCTCCTCAATTTCTTATTCTATGCCCCCAGAAAAGCGCTGCTATAGATATTTTTGTACATATAGGTCCATTTCCTTTTTGTTTTTTATCTCTTTTGGATACAGACCTTGCAGTGGTATTGCTAGGTCAAAGGGTTTGTATGGTTTTATAGCTCTTTGGGCATAGTTCCAAATTGCTCTACAGAATGACTGAAGCAGGGAAATTCTTAAAGAAACATTTTATAATAACACCACCACCAACAAAATCTAGTAACAAAGAGAGAAGAAAGATGAAGATAACAATGGAACCCACAAGATATGCGTGAATGATGTGTAACAGGTTGGCTTTGTGTGAGTTCTGGGTTACAAAATGGTTTTCATTTCTTTGGAATTGTATTGCTTCTAACAATGGTTTGTCTCCTCAGTTTAACCTGGTGTGTGCAGATTCCTGGAAGGTGGACCTATTCCAATCCTGTGTAAATGTGGGATTCTTTCTTGGCTCTCTGGGAATTGGCTATATAGCAGACAGGTATGTAAATGCTTCAATTTCCTAATTCAGTTAAAGAAATATTTGCTTCTTAGAACCATCCTAGTTGCTATGAAGAAATGCACAAGAAATTGGATATAGTTCCTGAATTCAAGAATTTGTGGCTACTATGTTTTAAACAGAAATAGCGGAGTTGATGGAGTAGTGGAAAAAAATAATGGATTTGAAGTCAGTGGATTTGAAAATGGATTTGAAGTCACTATATTATAAAAATATAATGTGTTATATTTTTATAATATAGTGCCTTATAGTTAACAAAGTGCTTTTATTCTAGGCTAGGACTAACTCAGACCAGGTTGGTGATTCAGGCCTGGGACTACAATGAAATGAAATATTCATGGACCATAAGATACAATTAAAAACAATTTTATTTAGGATAAGATTTTTAAAAACCCCAAATATTATTTCATTTGATCTTCACAACAATTCTCAGAAGTAGGTGCCATCATTATTCCCATTTTACAGATGAAAAACCTGAGGTAGACACGTTAAATGACTTGCCCAGGGTCATACCACTAGTGAAAAAAAATATTGGAGGCCACATTTGAATTCAAATACTCCTGACTCTAGGTCCACTGCTCCATCCACTGTGCCAGCTAGTTGCATGCTTAGGATAAGATTAAAAAAGAATACATATCAGACTATATCTAGCTAGTCAGGATGACTCCTCTTCCTGAGTTCAAATCTGGCCTTAGACACTTACTAGCTGTGTGACCCTGGGTAAGTCACTTAACCCTATTTGCCTCAGTTTCCTCATCTGTAAAATAAGCTAGAAGAGGAAATGGCGAGCCATTCCAGTATCTTTGCCAAGAAAATCCCAAATGGGGTCATGAAGAGTCAGACATGACTGAAAAGCGTCTGACCGATAAACAAACTTCTGAGTCCAGGACTTTTTCTATAGTACTACTTTGGTTTGGATACCCACCCCTACACAGGAATAGGTTACAACCTCATCCTAGGGGACTCTTAAGGGATGGTCCTACTCAGCATGGGGAGATGTTCCTCTGAGTCTGTCACATTTCTGGGATACCAGTGCAAGCTTTGGTCTGTCCTTTTTTTATCCCTTATGCCAGAAAAGTGTAAACTCTTTCAAGGACTGGCTTGGTTTAGTCTTCGTGTCTCCAGATGCCTCGGACATAGTAATTGTTTAATAATGTTTCTTTGAGTTGAATTAAATTGCCACATGACTAATCCACCCTCGTTTCTGATAATACATTTCCTGCTGACATCCCTTATGATGAGGCACAACGACACTGTCAAAGATAGGGAGTCAGTCTCGGCATCAGAAAGAACTGGGTTTGATCCCGTCTAATACTAGCTGAGCATTTGTGGACCAAGGTGAATCTTTCTGTCCCCCCAGCATCTCCCAGAGATTCTGGGGGTACAGCCAAGTAGCTGAACTGCGTCAGCAAACTATGCTGATGAAATCTATCAATCAGTAAGCATTTATTAAGCACCACTAGGTCTTGTGGTTACAAAATACCTGGGGATACAAAAAGAGGCAAAGTGCCCCTAGCTTGCAATCTAATGAGGCGGGCAACACACACGTAAATATCATGGAAATGGACAAGAAAAAAAATCCCCCAGTCCACTCCTTGTGCCCCAGTCATCTGGGTTCATGGCAGTCATAGAAAGCTAACTGAAATGCATTCCTGGTTTCTTTGGGATGGGACATGTATATATGTACACATGTATGAGTACACACATGTATCCATACACACATGTATATATCACTATATGTACATATATTTATATATCATATACCACTATATCACAAATATATATCATGTATATCTCATTGATTTTAGTGGTTTCATGGGTAGTAGAGAGTGGCAGAGCTAGGATTCCAAGTTCAGCACTCTTTTCATGGTAACAATATAGTTTTGATTAGGTACCTTTTCAATGGGTCAAATACCACTGAAAGCAGAGCAAACCAACAATTTTCTCAATAAGTCTAATGCACTTTTTCTAGATAAAACCACTAAATCCTATAGAGCTCTGTTCTGTAAGCTCTGTTCACACACTCCGTTATGGTCAGTCATGTTGCCCTTGCTTCAGTTTTTAAAAATATTTTGTCTTGGTCTTGATTTCATTACTGTGTTTGTTTCTCTGCAGGTTTGGTCGCAAAGTGTGTCTCTTAATCACAGTCTTCATCAATTCTCTCTCTGGAGTCCTCATGGCCATCTCACCCAACTATACATCTATGCTCATTTTTCGTTTGCTGCAAGGACTGGTCAGCAAGGGAAGCTGGGCCTCTGGATACATCTTGAGTAATTATTCATGGTTCCATCAACTCAAATCAGGACAGTAGTTAGGGGATATGATAAATTTGGGACCAGGTCAGAGAGGTTATTGTTGTTGATATCGATGAGGGATGTAGAAAGAGCCCCTGTTTAGCGCAGTCTGAGGGGTGGACATGGAGGATGGTGAATACTGGAAAAGACCGAAGTTTGAATCCAACTTCAGACACTTACTATCTGTGTGGCCTTGGGTAAGTCACTTAACCTCTGTATATTTTTATAGTATTTGAGGATGGAGACATAGGAGGAGATAAAGAGAAGGAATATTGTTAAAGAGAGCAAAACTCCTAAAAAAACCTTCAACCAACAACTAAAAACCAAGGATTGGATAAATATCTGAGGAATGCTATATATTAATACTTTTCAAGTTTACTTTAAAGATTGAGAGGGAAACCCCCAAATTGTAAGACTTTATAGGATCATAGATTTGGAGCTGGAAAGGATTTAGGTCCAGTGCCTTCGTTTTATCCGTGAGGAAACTGAGGCCCAGGGAGGTTAAGTGACATGCCCAAAGTCACACAGGTAGTAAGTGATTAGGAGATAGATTTGAATTCAGGTCCTCTGACTTAAAATCCAGTGCCCTGTCCACTGTGCTATTTGTTGTTATTCAGTCATTTTTAGTTGAGTCTGGCTCTTTGTGATCCCATTTGGGGCTTTCTTGGCAAAGATACTGGAATAGTTTGCCATTTCCTGTTCCAGCTCACTCTACAGATGAGAAAACTGAGGCAAACAGGGTTAAGTGACTTGCCCAGGGTCACACAGGTAATAAGTGTCGGAGGCTGGATTTGAACTTAGGTCTTCCTGACCCGAGGTCCAGTGCTCTATCCATTGTACCACCTAGCTGTCCTACCACCATAGCCAGCATAGTAGTGACTCTCAAACTCAGCAAGGCTTTGGGAAAGGGAAACAACTGAAGTAGATTCACTTTTTCCAGCTTCAATCCAAGGCTGGATGACACTAGCAGGCATGAATCATTTTCTGGGTGGTAAAGGATGGGAGATAATCCATACTTTGTGTAATTTTCTAGGGAAGGAGATACAGGGGTTTGCCACTTCCTGGAAATTCAATTTAGCATCCTGACATTTGGGGAAATTTCAGGCCTCCTAGGAAGAGGTGATCTAACTATGATCCTACTCTGAGGAAATAAATAAATAAATATTCCAGAACCCCAAGGCTTCTGAAAGCAGAGGGTCTATATTTTCCTATTGATTATAATCTGCATTGATGACCATTCACATCTCTATTTTGCAGGCAGCTAGGTGGCACAGTGGACAGAGTGCTGTGCCTAGAGTCAGGAAAACCTGAGTTCAAATTCTGCTTCAGATATTTACTGGCTGTGTGACCCCAGGCAAGTCACTTAACCTTGTTTGCCTCAGTTTCCTTATGTGTAAAATGAGCTGGAGAAGCAAATGGCAAATTATTCCCATTATCTTTGCCAAGAAAATGCCAAATGGGGTCATGAAGAGTTGGACATGACTGAAAATGACCGAACAACAAAATGTCTCTATTCTAGTCACAGAATTTGTTGGCGCAGCGTACAGAAGAACCGTGGGTATTCTCTTCCAGACGAATTTTGCAATTGGTCTCTTGATACTCTCAGGAATTGCTTATACTATTCCCCATTGGCGATGGCTACAGCTGACTGTTACTTTACCAACCTTCCTCTTTTTGCTCTATTACTGGTAAGTACCGCCTTCCTCCTTTTCATTTTCAATGGCAATAGAGCAACTCACACAGGATGAACAGGAGCAGATGGGTTAGGAGCTGCATTGTCCTTTTCCCCAAACCTATGCTCCCATTGTACTTCTCTATTTCTTTCAAGGGAAGAACTCTCCTTCTAAGTCACCTCCGTTCATGACTCTGGAGCCATTTTAACTCCTCGCTCTCACTCCATGTATCTAATCAGGAGCCAATCATACATGGGCCAAATACCGTTAAGAGACCAGCACCAAGTCTTCTTGTTTCTACCTCCACAATATTTCTTACCTTTATCTCCTTTTCTTTACTCATGAAGACACAACCCTAATTTAGGCCCTCAGCATCTCTCACCAGGATCAGTTCAATGGCTTCCAGAATGGTCCGATTTCCTCAAGTCTACCTTCTGCAAGCCGTCATTGACATAGCTGACAAGGTGATTCTCCTAAAGTACTGTTCTGACCATGTCCCTCCCTAGTGGAATAAACTCCGAGGACTGCCTCCTCAACATAGGCTAATACAAACTCTTGTTGTTGTTGTTCAGTTGTGTCCGACTCTTCATGACCCCATTTGGGGTTTTCTTGGCAAAGATAACTGGAGTGGTTTGCCATTTCCTTCTCCAACTCATTTTACAGATGAGGAAACTGAGGCAAATAGGCTTAAGTGACTTACTCAGGTTCACACATCTTGTAAGTGTTAGGTGTTTCTGACTTCAGGTCTAGTACTCTGAGCCACCCAGCAGATTCTCCCTAAATAAAAGACTAAAGGAAAGAGGTTAAGAAAGGATATTTTTTTTTTCCTGCCAAGAAGCCTAAGACTGAGCCAAAGCTGGTAAATGATTATAATAGACTAATATCTGCAGTTTATTTGAACAATTCAGGGCTTACAGGGTCAGGGGGAGAGGTCGGGAATGTACTGAAGTGATATAACTTTGTTCTGGGCCTAATCCATGTGAGCTCTCTCTCTCTCTCTCTCTCTCTCTCTCTCTGTCTCTCACTACCTCTCTCTCTTTTTCTCTCTCTGTCTCTCACTATCTCTCTCTTTCTCTCTGTCTCTCACTATCTCTCTCTCTGTCTCCCTCTCTTTTTCTCTCTCTTTGTCTCTGTCTGTCTCTGTCTCTCACTGTGTCTCTCTATCTCTCTGTTTTTTCCCCTCTACCTCATCCCACTCTAGATACTTTATAAAAGCCCTTTCTTTGACTCATTGATGGGCTCAAATTCTTTCTTATTATCCCTTCTTTTGCTTCACTGCCTCGGAGACCATTGTCCTGCTACACTCTGCCCACCATCTGGCACACCTGGAGTATTGTGTTCAGTTCTGGGCCCCACATTTTAGGAAGGGAACTGATCAACTGACTGGAGGAAGGCAACCAGGAGGGAGAAAGAGCCTTGGCTTCCCAGCACATGAGGACCTGTTGAAGGAAATGGTAGTTTTGCCCGGAAAAGAGAAGACTTAGGGGAGATAGAATAGAATCCTTTATTTTAAGAGCTATCACCCGGCAGAGGCACTATATCTGTTTCATTGGGCCTCAGAGGCAGAACAGGGCACAGTGAGTGGAATTCACAGTTAACGTTTAGGCTTGTTGCCAGGTAGAGACTTCCTAATACCACTTGCAGGTGATGGAGGAGGAATTACTGTTCCAGGGTGGGTTAGACTACATGACCTCTGAAGTCTCTTGCAATTCTGAAGTTCCATAATTGTTGTGAAACTCATGGAAAGAATAATGTATATGTCCTCCACTCATGCCTCTTCACTCGCTTCTCAGATCTGGTTTGTCAGAGCATCATAGATTGAGAGCTAGAAGGGCCCTTAGAGTTGTACCCTTCCTTTTACAGATGAGGGTGGTACAGGCCAGAGAGGGATAAAACTGGGGACACAGTAAGTGTCTGAAGTGAGATCTGAACCCAGGTCTTCCTAATTCCATGTCCAGAGCCCTTTGTGTTATACCAAACTGCCTCTTGACCAAGAGATACCTTGGTCTCCTCTTTATTCTTAATTGAATTTAATTCACCATACGTTGTAAAAGCACTTAACTATGTTCTAGGGATAGTGTTCTAAGCGTTATTCTAGGTGTTCCAGTCACCGCTCCAGAGACTCAAAGACAAAAATGAATGAATGTCTACCCCCGAGGAGCTAATATTCTAGCATCTGCCTGACAGGGTTGTTGTGAGGATCCAAGGAGATAATATTTGCAAAAAGCACTTAGCACAGTGTCCAGCACACAGTAGACATTATAGAAATATTTATTCCCTTCCTCCTTCCCTCCTATGGGATATATCTAGTTTGAGGGGGTCTCCTTTGCCTCCATCCCATTCTAGGTTATGTCCTATTTTATTTGGGTTCGAGTCATACTTTACCCCTATGCCCATTAGACTATCAGATCATTCAGTTAACAGAAGATGTTATCTTTCATCTTTACATTCCCACAGAGTAAGCCCCTAGTAAATGCTCATTCAGTGGAGTTGTCTTAAGGTTTCGTGTGTGCTCCCTCTATATAATAGCAATGTAGATTATTATACTGTGTGCCTCTGGCATTCTGGCTTTGTGGCCCTCTCAATGCCTGAGGTAGTTCTCTAAGACAGTAGGTCTTAACCTGGGGGGCAAGGACCCACCATGGATAGATTTCAGGGGGTTTGTGAAGCTGGATGATTTAAAAAATTACATCTTTATTTTCGCTGACATCTAAATGAACTTTAGCGTTTACTTCAATTATTCAAAAACATTATTCTGAGAAGAGATCCAAAGACTGCCATAGGAGTCCATGACAAAAAAAGGTGAAGAATTCTCTGATTTAAGACTATAAGTTGCAGAGCAGCTATCAATTTTCATTGGTAGAGAGAATTTCTTCAATGGTAATCCCCCATAACAATGAAATCACAGGCCTATTTTCTTTCCTCCCTCCAAAAAAAAAACCCTATTATTACTTTTAATAAATCATTGATTATAACTACAGGTGTGTGCCTGAATCTCCTCGGTGGCTGTTATCACAGAAGAAAAATGCCAAAGCAATAAAGATAATGGACCACATTGCTCAAAAGAATGGGAAACAGTTGCCTGCTAATCTCAAGGTAATTGTTGTTCAGTCATGTTTAATTCTTTAAGAACCCATGGACCCTATTGTTCATGGGGGTTTCTTGGCAAAGATACTGGAGTGGTTTGCCATTTCCTGCTCCAGTGGATTAGGGCAAACAAAGATTAAGTGACTTGCCCAGGATCACCCAGCTAGCAAGTACATGAGGCTGGATTTGAACTCTACTCTTCCTAACTCCAGGCCCAGTCCTCTATCCACTGAGCTACCTATCTGCCTCCAATCTCAAGGTAATAGAGAGAGGGAAAAAGGAGATGATGGGGCTAGGAGTATGAAGTGATAATCTACTTATAGCCTGTATGTGTTGTAGATTTGTTTCACATTTGAGTTCTTGCCTTGAAATTTCCAAAGGCAATGAGCATATTTCCAATTGAGTACAAACCATGTGTTGCGCTGGCCTCCCAGCGTGGATCATTTGGAGCATTTACCTGGTGGAGTAAAGGTCCTTGGGCCAATCAGAAAAAGGTTTGAAACTTGTTCCAGTCCTAAGCCATCTACCATGTGATCTTGTGATTTCTGGAAGGAGTCTTCTTTCCTGAGCTGATGATACATCTCTTTCCTAGACCCTCTCTCTTGAAGATGATGATGATGATACAGAAAAGCTACGACCTTCCTTCGGAGACCTATTCCTAACCCCTCAGATAAGGAAACATACTTTCATTCTGATGTACATCTGGTAAGGCGAAGTTCTGAAATTTTTCAACCCAAAGTGTTCATGGTTGGAATGACCCTTTGGGAGCAGGATATGGGGAGGAGAATGCTCCAGACTAAAGAAGAGAAAGTTAAGTGGTGATTTGATAAGTTGTATGGATGAATTATTCTAACAAAGATTACAGTAATGAGCTCTTCTTCATAGTCTGTAAGGAGTGAACAAGAGGAAATAGGGGCAGCTAGGTGGCACAGTGGATAGAGCACCAGCCCTGAAGTCAGGAGGACCAGAGTTCAAATCCAGCCTCAGACCAAACACTAGCTGTGTGACCCTGGGCAGGTCACTTAACCCCAATTGCCTAAAAAAAAAAAGAAGAGGAAATACAATCACATTTCAGTGGGCAAAATATGTGGGTTATATGTGTAACCTGTGTGGAAAGCACTCAGGGTCAACATAGAGCTAATCTGCCCTCCACTCTCCCTCGGGACTTAGTCTACAGAATTCATAGTACCAGTGTGAATTTGATCTTCCATATCATGACTCTCTCCTTTGCTTCTGCTCCTTGGCACTGGCTCTGGTTTGTTCCAGAAATTCTTCTGCTCAGCCCTCTTTCACCTGGGGTTGGCTGCTCAATGCACGTTGTTCCCTGGAAGGGCTTTGGGATGTGATGGCTTCCCTTTAGGGAACTGAGTCCAAATCAATGGGTTTTCCCACTCGTTACTGTATTCCTCTGCCTCTAGATCCCTAGCCCTTCTGTCTATGTGTATTGCTACCCTCTAAGTCAAATTGAGTGGCATTTATTAAGCACCTACTATGTGCCAGGTACTGTGCTAAATACTAGTTTTTAACATTCACTTACACAAGATACTAAATACTAGGAATGCAAAAAAAGTACCCTTCCCCCGCCAAAAAATAAAAACACCAGTCCCTACTCTCAAGGAACTCACAGTCTGAGTGGGCAGCAACCTGCACACGGCGATGCACAAATAATGAATACAGTCAATCAATCAATACAGATTTATTAAGTGACTACTATATGTCAGGCACTGTGCTAAGCCCTGGGGATGCAAAGAAAGGCAAAAGACAGTCCTAGTTTATAAGGAACTCACAGTCTAAAGTGGGAGACAAAATGCCAACAACTGTATACAAACAAGTTATATACAGGATTAACTTGAGATAATCCCCAAAGGAAAGCATTAGAATTAAGGGGGATCAGGAAAGAGTAGAAGAGGGGATTTTAGTTAGTTGAAGGAAACCAGAGAAGTCAGGGGGCAGAGATAAGGAGGGAGAGTGCGTGGGAGACAACCAGTGAAAATGTCCTGAGTGTCTTGTTAATGGAACAGCCAAGAGGCCAGTGTCACTGGATCTCAAGAGTAGGTGGAGGGGAGTGAGATGTAAGAAGGCTGCAAAGGTAGGATTGGGCCAGGTTATCAACAGCTTTAAAAGCCAACTTGTCAAGGTTCAAGTTCCTAAACTAGACATGGTCAGTATGGTATTCAAACATGCCAGGCATTGTGTTAAGCCAAGAAGATAGGAATGAAAGGCCCTGCCTTTAAGGAACTTGATGATCTTGCAATTTTTTGTGTTGATAGTTTAGAGTTTCTTAAAATCTACCTTTTAAAATGTGTTGATCCCACTTTTTTCACGGATGGAATAGTTGTCCAGTAATGCACAGAGTAATGGAGGGGCAAATGGTTGATGTAAGCTGGCTGCAATATATAACCAACGAGGAAAAGCGAAGAAGAAATGGAGTAAAAAATGTTATCAGTGAAGTGAAAAGAGAAGAGCTGATCCTGCGATAAAAGTAAAGGATGATAGGCCAACAGCCTGAATGCTTTACTGGAACCACAAGTTGCTAGAAGAATGAATGAATGAAACAGCATTTATTAAGTATGTAAACATGTACCAAATACTATGCTAAGCACAGGGGAGACAAAAACAAAGCTAAGAGAGTCCCTGCCCTCAAGGTGCTTATATTCTAAGAGGGAGAAACAGGGCATAGAGAAGAAAGGTGGCCAGTAAAGAATATTTTGATTCAGAAAGTTATGGGGATGAGAGTAGAGATTTTCAGAAGCAATGACAAAGCTGATTTGATTATGGTTCCAGAAATGAAAGTGGGGGTGAGGGAAGAAGGTAGCATATAGTAGTATAGCTAGAGAGAACTAGGCTTTAATATAGTGGGTGTCTTAGGCAGGCACCAATCAGGAGAACAAGGCTCTGTGGCAGGAGTCCCAAGGATGAAGTCTTTTGGGGTTTGATTTCTTGTCCAAGCAGTATGGTGGCTGGTGAGAAGGTTGGGGACTAAAGCCATAAAGAGACTCCCAGTAGATTGTGTGGACTGTGTGTGGTAATTTATGGGAGAACATGAACAAGAGTTGTAAAGAATGGGCAGGTGTGGGTAGGTTTTCATTTCATTTGTATCACTGAAGGGACCATCCACATTGATGAGATCACAAAACCACATGTGTATTTAAGATTGTATGAGAGGCACGCACACACACAGTGCTATAGGAGGCCTGAGGAAGAAAGAGATGGCCAGGGGTCATCATATAAGGAGTCACAGAGAAGAAAGCATTTAAGACAAGCTTTTAAGGAGGGGTAGGATTTGAACAAACAAAAAGAGGGGTTGGAAGATCATTCTAGAAATAGGGAAAGGATTCAAGAAAAGACAGAGGTAGGAAAGTAATGATAATGACAATGAATAATAATAGCATTCATATAGGACTTTAAGGTTTGCCATACATTTTATATATTTTAGCTCATCCGATCCTAACAACACCCTGGAAGGAAGTACCTTTGTTACCCCCATTTTACAGATGAGGAAACAGAGGCTGAAAGATGCTAAATGATTTGTACATGATCATCACAGCTAGTTAGTGTCTGATGCAGGCCTTGAACTCAGGTCTTCCCAACACCAGACTCAGTGCTCTATCCACTGTGCCATCTAGCTGCCTCAAGTATAGGAAATAGGATCATAGACACAGAACTGACTAGGTGAGATCATCTAGTCAGACCCCTCTCATTTTACAGATAAGAAAACTGAGGCAGAAGGCTGTTAAGTGATTTTTCCCAAGGTCACACAGGTAATAAATGACAGGGGAATTTGACAGGGGTCCTCTGACTCCAGGGTCTAGTGCTGAGGAAAGCAAATGGTCTAGTTGGCTTTTAGCATAGAGTATTTTATTATTATTATTATTATTATTATTATTATTATTATTATTATTATTATTATTATTTTGGATAGGCAATGGGGTAAGTGACTTGCCCAGGGTCACACAGCTAGTAAGTGTTATATGTCTGAGGCCAGATTTGAACTCGGGTCCTCCTGAATCCAGGGCTGGTGCTCTACTCACTGCACCACCTAGCTGCCCCCAAGCATAGAGTATTTTAAAAGGAAAAATAGGGGTTTTATTAATTTTTATAAAATAAAGGCCCTGGAAAAGAAAGATTATATTACATTGAAAAGGGATTTGCATAGTGGACTAGAAAGTCTGAACTTTATTTAGCAGGCAATAGGGAGCCATTGATTGATTTTGAGCCAGAGAGTAACACGACCAGACCTATGGATAAGTAAAATTATTTTGTCAGTGATATAAAGAATAGACTAGAGATGAGAATACTGGTTAGAAAAGTCAGGTATTAGATTGGTGTGGTAAGTGGGGAGGGGTATAATGGTGGCCTATATTAGGGTGGTCGCCACGAGGAAGGGGATGGATTTTATGAAGGTAGAATCTGCCTGGTTTTACTCAGCAGGGTAAGGAGAGAGTCTAACAAGCATTGGGCTGCCATATGAGTGGTCCACTGGGCAAGGAAATCGTATAAGGCAAATTGTGGTTTTGCTGACACTTGCTAATCTCCTTCATAATATGTTCTCCAATTTGTCATGTCCCTTCGTTTTAGACTGCTGCTTTGAACTCTACTTTTCCCTTCTCAGCCGCACTTTGGTTTACTCTGGCATGGCATATGGTTTACTTTGTTTTGATTGCAAGGCTTCAGACCTTGACCCTTTATTTCCCTCCAGATCCGTTGGGTCCTGATCATTTAATCAATAACCTATTCCACTAGCTCCGTCCCCAATCTAGGGGGCACAGATTTTGATCCTCTAATTTTTTTTTCTCACTTGTGGCTCAGCCAATGATCAAGTTGTTTGCTTCCCCAGAAGCCCCATACTAGGAGCTTGTGAGGATGACTTTGACCTTGAAGTACATAAATCACGTTCTTTCCTACCCTTGCTAATTATGGGTGAACATGAGGAAATACATTGTCCTGAGGATCCCGGGCTCAAAGAAGTGACTAGACTATCTCTGATACCAAGTAGACTGACAAAGGTATGGGCCCCAAGAAAGAACATGGGAGCCAATGCACCATGTGCATGTCTTAAAGGTCTTCCACCAATACTATTCTACCAAACCATGGTCTTTAGTTCTGGGGAGGGATAGTGTCTGGGTCAATGGCATCATCAACAAGGTGAAGCCATGTAAGGGCATGATGAGGATGCTAATCCATTGCAATGTTCACAAAATGGAGTGAGCAGGAAAAATGGCTAGCATCTACTGTGTGCCATGCAAGAGAGCCCAAGGCCTCAAATATCATGGCTAATACTTCAACCTCCTTCTTCCCTTCCCCCTCCCCCACCACTAGAATTGTTTTTCCCTTGGGTCCTAGTGACTGTTCTTATCATTGGTATGTGTTGGGCTATTCTCCGTTTAGGAAATATTGAGCAGAATTAATAGATCTGGTGAGTGATGTGGAATGTGAGAAATGCTGTAGGACCTAGAAAATAGGATAATAAGAATGAATAAAAAGCATTTACTATATGCCATGTTTACTATATGCCAGGCATTGTGCTGAGCCCTGGATATAAAAATAGAAAAGCAGAATAGTTTCTGCCCTTAGTCAGCTTATTCTAATAGGGAGAGAAAATGCATATAAGGGAGAGGTGGTTAGGGAAGGGAATTTTGAAATGGAAACTCACAGGGATGTTGGGTGGAAAAATGGTACAGTCAATTTATGTGCCCTTTCCCAGAAGGAATAGTGGTGTTAATTTTTTTTTTTACACAACTGGAGTTAAGTGACTTGCCTAGGGTCACACAGCTAGTGTCAAGTGTTTGGTCTGAGGCTGGTTTTGAACTCAGGTCCTCCTGACTTCAGGGCTGGTGCTCTATCCACTGTGCCACCTAGCTGCCCTGAGTGGTGTTAATTTGATTATAGGACAAGGTGTGTGTGTGTCTGTGTGGGTGTAGGGGGGGTTGGGGCAGGGGTGGGGGTGGGAAGAAAGTGATACCTGCATTGGCAAGTGGGCAAGTGGAGGCTGTTGAAAGACTATGACTAGGTCTGTGGTTGGCTAGCTATAGTGAAATACCATTAATTAAAGAGTGGCCCCCCATTGTAGTGGATGCAGTACTGGATTTGGACTCAAGGTTCAAAGGAGACAGGTTCAAATCCTGCTTCATACTCTTACTAACTGTGTGACCCTGACGAGTCATTTAACCTCTTTTGGTCTCAGTTTGCTCATCTATAAAATAAGGGAATTAGTCTAAGATCCTTTCTTTTTTTTTTTTCTTTTTTTTTTTTTTAGGCAATTGGGGTTAAGTGGCTTGCTCAGGGTCATACAGCTAGTAAGTATCAAGTGTTTGGTCTGAGGCCAGATTTCAACTCAGGTCCTCCTGACTTCAGGGCTGGTGCTCTGTCCACTGTGCCACCTAGCTGCCCCTAACATCCTTTTTAGCCCCAAATCTATGAACCTATGATTCATTTAGGCCAGCTTGACCCCAGGGCTGGAGTTCAGAAAGGGCAGCAACAGCAGTAGATAATCACTGGGCTGAGAGATCATGGCTGACTTTGGGGCCAGCTAGATACAGTAAAATCTCACCATTCAAGACAGCCCTCAGGGCAGGAGTTCCAAAACTGCTCCATGGGCCAAAGGTTGGAAAATTGTTAGGGTGAAAGAGAAGAGTAAGAAGTAATGCCATGATTTCCAGCATGGGTGATATCATTAATGGTGGTACCACTCAGCGAAAATGATAAAACCAGAAAGTGGAGCAGGTTTTGGTTTTTGTTTTTTGAAGAAAATATGGGTGGGAGGTAGGGAGAAGAATAAGTTCAGTTTTGTGCCTCTCTGGAAGTCTGTAACCTTGAGAGGCTTTGGGAGAAAATTCAAGGCCACGAACAGCTTTGTCTTAGCAAAATGAACTCTATTGGTAACATTGACTTTGTTGTGAGCTCTCACTAAGCTCAGATGAAGACTAATAATCAGAGTTACTGTTTCAGAGTTCATGTTTATGGTATTTAAGTAGCTTATTTATGCTCAAGACGAGACTTTCATCCTAGCATTTTCCCTTAATGTGTTCTTCGATACCCACTTGAAGAGCTAGCAAAAAAACCTTAGAAGATTCCGTGGGGCAGTTCTGGGCATCTTTCTGCCTGTTATGTCCACCATTGCTACCTTTGTCTTACAGTGGGTCACAGCTGACCCTGAAGTCTTAGTTGGAACCATAGCCTTTCCTTTCCATTTCCTGATGGGTACAGTGCCCCCATGATCTAGAAAATCCACATAAAATTTTTTGGCCCTCTGTCCCAGAGAAGAAGTCTGAATTTTTTCTTTAATGGGGTGTTTACAGTGCCTTATTGTAAAATTTGGGTTAAGTATTTGGGTATAGGCTATATGTAGGTTAATGTTATGTAGAAATACTTTTTCTGTGTTTGCTGGCCTTCGTGTGTCATCATCTGTGGTTTTCGCAAAAATCCCATTTAATTTTTTATGCTGACCTGAGAAACATTGAAACCATGATAGGGAAAGTTGAGATGTGGAAGGGGTAACTATACTTCATCTTTCTGTTGAGCTGTGCTCAACTGAGTGGCAGGTACACCTGTCACAGCTCCTGCTCTTAGCCCTGAGTTAAGTCATGACGAGCTCTTTGCCTCCTCCCCATTCCTATGACTCTTTTGCAAGAGGTAGAAGTTAGTCTAGCTCCTAACGAATTTGTTTTTCTGAGCTTTTCTGGACATTCTGAAGAGCTTACTTTTAGGTATTTTTGTTTCCAAAATAGAGAGATTTAAAAATAGGAATCTCAATTTTTCTTGGAGCTGATGTGAAATTTGGTTGCTTGGAAATGGCATTTATTTTTCTCTTGATGAAAATCTTCTATCAGGTTTACTATAATCAACATATATATGTGTGTGTATGTGCATATATGTACGCATGTATATGTGTACATATATATTTATGTATGTATGTATCTTTGTGTGTATCTAGCTAACCAAATAACATTTTAAAAAACAGATACGGTTCTCCCTACAATAACTTGGTAAATTTCCTTAATGTTAATTCCCTAATTCCCTTAATTCCCTAATGCTTAGAGTATCTTACCTGTTTCTATAATAAATCTGTGTGCCATAGACTAGAGCCCACTGTCTCATTCACCACAAATATGGATGCAAATGCTACAGGATAAAAGAGAGAATGGCTTTTTAAAACACATTTGATCTTAAAGAGAGTCTGGGAGTATCTCATATCCTTCCTATCTCTATTGAGAATTGTTTTAAAATTTCTGACAGTTATTCCTCTCTGATTATTGTTATATTCTGAATAGGATCTGAAGCTCATTTTCCCTCCAGTTATTCTCATAAATCATGTTTATAAAATGCTCCTCTATCTCCTCTTTGAGGAGGGAGCAAGGTGTCATTCTAGCAGATAGAGCATTGGGTCTAGAATTGAAATTACCTGAGTTCAAATGCCTCTCATGCTTACTAGCTATGTGACCTTGGGCAAGTCACTTAACCTCTGTCTGCCTCAGTTTCCTTAACTGTAAAATGGGGATAATGATAGCACCTACCAGACAGGGTCATTGTGAGGATCAAATGAGATAATTTTGTAAAATGCTTAGCACATTGCATGGTGCATAGTAGGTGCTCCATAAATGTTGATTCCCTTTTCATTCTCTTAAAAAACAAAAACCACAAATTTCTCATCTTTCTGGAAGCCTAACTTTAACTTGGAGCATCTTTTTTGTTCAGGTTCTCAGGCGCTGTGCTTTATCAGGGTCTCATTATGTACATGGGGGCCACAGCTGTTAACCTTTACCTGGATTTCTTTTACTCCTCTTTGGTTGAATTCCCAGCTTCCCTCATCATCATCTTCACCATTGATCGCGTTGGCCGCCGCTATCCTTTAGCTACCTCAAATTTTATTGGAGGGGTAGCTTGTCTTATCATGATATTTATCCCAGATGGTGAGTTGTCTGTTTTCATTCTTGTCCCATTTGTCCATTTTGGGGAATCACGTTTTATCTTTGATAAGCTTTTGGAACTAGAACAGAGACAAAGTAATGTGTAATATCTTACACACTGTTGTGATCCAAGCTAAATAGAACCGGGCAAATTCTTCCCAAATTTAAGTACAGCAAATAAACCTCCTCCCACATTCTTTGCCAATTCTAATTCTTTCAAATTAACATCAAGATAAATTTATTATTTTTCTAAGTTTTCATGAACTGTTTACTGGACCTATTAGCTCCTTGGGTCATTCGACATAGTTTCTGTGAACAGTATTCTAGAAACTGCCCCATAAAATTTGAGTTCTTGAGAACAACATTATCTTGGTTATCTTGGGCTTGAGAGGCAGTGTGGCATAGTAAATAGAGAGCTGGCTTTAGAGTGAGAAAGATCTGATTCAAATCTTGTCTCTAAACATATAATGACTATGTGATCCTGATGCCACAGACACTAATGCTGAAGGTATAGAGCAGATGCTGATTTCGTGGTAGGAGAATTTTCTGACTAAAGCTCCCTATACGAATGATATCAAAGGCCTAGACAAAAAAAAAAAGGTAAACTTGGAGGTGGGGGAATTTAGTTCAATTCAATTTCAAGCCTTCTGTGGCAGCTAGGTGGTGCAGAGCATTAGGCCTAGAGTCAGAAAGACCTGAGTTCAAATTTAGCCTCACTGGCTATGTAATCCTAGATAAGTCTTTGACCTTGTTTGCCTCAGTTTCCTCAACTGTAAATGGGGATAATGACAGCATTTACCTCCCAGGGTTGTTGTGAGGATCAAATGAGATAATACTTGTAAAGTACTTAGCATGGTGCCTGGAACATAGTAGGCATTTTATAAATGCTTATTCCCCTTTCCTTCCCTTAAAAAGTCACAAATTCCCTTCTTCTCTTCCTTTCAAAATAAGTTGAAGGAAACAATTCAATAAGCATTTATAAAGCACCTCCTATGTGCAAGACACCACAAAGAGAGGAAACAGAGCAGAGGGTGTCCTGGAATGGTTGATTACCCAGTGGAATGAGATTAAAGCCCTCTTTAAAAATTAGGGACTAATTTTCCCTATGTCATCATTCGGCAGGCATTGTAGTTCTCTTTTTGGAAATTATAATACTTGGATTTTGCACAAACATTTACTCAGTACTTACGGTGTGCAGGTACTCTGCTAGGTGCTGGGGAAAAGACAAAGGTTAGTTAAGATGGTGCATGCTGCCTTTGTGGCCCTTACTGTCCTAGGTGACAAATTAGTGTAGGTTTAGAACTGAATACACATTAGGGAACTCTGTAACAGAGAAGAGAATCTGCTTCTAGAGTTGTTTACTTCTCTAGTGCATTGGTTGTATTTTTATTAAGGATTCAGGGAGTTTTCAGTTCTAGACGATATCGTCTAGACTTTCTAAACAAATATCTCCCCATAGATTCTAGATTTTAAACATCTTATTTCTGGCACAAGAGATATAGTGGGTTGCTGTTTTGGGTCCTTGTCTAGTCCCAATCAAGAGTTCTCAAGCCCTTGGTTTCTTAACTAAATTTCTTCTTGGATAAAAAGCAGAGGAAAGAAGACAAATGAAGTTAGAGTGCATTGAATTCAGCAGAGTAAAGAAATTCCTCAGACACCATTTCGTCTCTCAAATGAAGCCTTGAGCAGAATGAATCAAATTTTATATCAGTAGTGGGTTGCTGTGGCCAAGGGAAAATAATGTCTGGTATCCTCTCTACATCTTATGAGTGATCTGTTTGATCATAGTCCCAGGGCTACTTGGCTCTTAAGTTCTGATAATATTGATAATAATTTATAATTTATTGTTTTTATTGTAATTCATTAACTTAATCAATCATTGTGATTAGCATAATTAATACATTGATGATTTTTTATTATTCATATACATTATCTCATTTGGGCTTTACAACAACCCTAAGAGGTAGGTGTTATTATCATCCCCATATTATAGATAAGGAAACTGAGGCTGGTGTCTCTCTATAGCTTCCTCTAGAAACACCAAAATTTGACTTACGTTAAGGTCTCTACAAAATTGTAGCTCCTACACAAGCACACAAGCTTGTAAATAATTTATAATGTAGTTTTTGAACTCAGGTCTTTCAGACTTCATATCCAACAGTATGCAATGTACCACCTAGCAGCTTTGAATCAGTAGGGAAATTTTTCTGAAGAAATCAAAGAAGTCATTTCTTAGTTCATGGATTCTTAGATTTTCTGAACCAGTTATGAAGTGTTCATAGTAAAACCTGATGAATATGGTTTCTTAACATAACCCAAAGGGCAGAATCCCTTTTCACATTTCAAACAATTTTTTTGTATTTTCTTTCCAGATATGCACTGGTTAAAAGTGACTATGGCATGCCTTAGCAGGTTGGGAATTACTATTGCAGTTCAGTTGATTTGTTTAGTGAATGCAGAACTATATCCCACATTTGTCAGGTGAGTGACTCTCTTTGAACCTGTGTGGAGTGAGGTGTGGCTACTGAAATTGGTAGATAACATGGGTGCTAGTCAGGTTTAATGATTTGTACTTAGATATTTAGAAGTAATTCTCTGAAGTAGGACAGATGGCCGATGTTGAATGCTCTCTCTCTCCCTCCATAATATAAATGTATATGTGTATGTATTTATGTATGTATACATGTACATATATATTTGTTTTTTAACCCATATATACAGTATTTTATGTAGGGTGGTTTGTCTATGGTTTCAATGGGCAGAATTGAATTCACTTGATAAAATCTGAGGACCTACTATGTTCTAGGGCACAATGATAGGTGTTCTTGGGGCATACAATACTGAAGAAAACATGGTTCCAATTTTGAGGGACCTCATAATCAAGTATGGAAGATAAAGCATATGCACTTTAATATTTTAATGGATTCATGATCTCAGCTATGCAGGCATTCTTTCTACTACTGTGGATAGCAACTCATCCATGCCTTCTCATCTTGTATAACCCTTGTCTATATTCTCCCATATGTTTGTTGTTTTTTTTTAATAGAGCTACTGAAGGGTCTTCTCAAGGTTTTTTCTTTTTAAACATGTTATGAGCATCAGTACCATGCCTGAGCTGCTCATCCGGATATCTTGATCTCAGTCCATGATTAGCCCACTGCCTTTTCTGACCATATATATCTTGTGGTATAACCCTTCTCCCATCACTGAAAATGTGCCATAGTTGACTTATACCTGTCACACCAATACCTATACTGCACAATAGATGGCATATATATAGTCTTTAACAGGTTACACAGTGCCCATACTGCATTATATTATGTCAAAATAAATTAATTTCCAGAGTGGTCCTGCGAGGCAGGTTGTTTAAACATCATCCCCCATATTTCTGAAACCTAGATAAGCTGAGTGACTCCTGGAAAGCCACACAGTGAGCAAATGACTGGGCAAATGAACTTGGACTTGGACCCAGAGAAGTACAAACAAAATCCTGTTATTCATAAGGCTGTCAGTCTGGGGAAAGTCCATTTATACCCATTTAAAAAAAAACCATTGTTGACTAGGCTCACATTTGCTGTGTTACCTTACCACTCTGTGAGCTTTTTTCTAAAAAATATTAATTCATTAATTTTTATTTTTCAACATTCACTTTTATAAGATTTTGATTCTTCAAATTTTCCCCCTCCCCAAGATGGCATGCAATCTGATGTAAGCTATATATATATATATATACACACACACACACACATATATATATATATATACACACATATATACACACACATATATACATATATATATATACACACACACAATCATATTAAACATATTTCCATATTAGTCATGTTGTGAAAGAAGAATCAGAACAAAAGGGAAAAACCATGAGGAAGAAAAATAAGAGAGAAAATAATATGCTTCAATCTGCATTCAAACTCAGTAATTGTTTCTCTGGCTGTGGATAACATTTTCCATCATGAGTCTTTTGGAATGTGAGTTGACTTGAAAACCAGGAGAACTTGTAATGGGCAACTCTTTGGCTATCTCTGCTTTCAATTTTTGTTTCTATTAACCCTCTCCTAAGCTCCCATCTAGTACAGCAATAGTGTATAGTAGGACCTGTTGAGTCCATGTTGAGTTCTGCTGCTTACCAGCCCTTTGACTTTGTACATGTCTAATGAGATAGTATTTACAGACTTTACAAACTACTAAGCATCATATAAATGTTATCTACTTTTATTATTATTAATAATATTATTTTTATTTCACCTTTTTGAGTTTCAGTTTCCTTGGCTGTAAATTGGGAATAATAATACTTGACCAGCTACCTTGCAGAGTTGATAGGAGGAAATAATTTCATAAACTAGAAAGTATCACGAATATGAATTATTATTATTAATATTTTCCTGCCTCCTCCGTATTCCTCTCTGAAGTGCTTATGAAGGGGAGGGAAGACTGACTGGAAACTTACAAAGTTTAAATGAAGACAAAAAATCTCTCTTGAATTCAATGCCTCTCTTGAAGATCTGAGCCAGAAGTCTAAAAGCAGCAAAGCAAAAACAATTCCATTGTCATGGTCACTGGTCCCCAAGGGCTTGTTTAAATCTTAAAAATTCAAAGGTTCCTAGAGCTTGGTCTTATAAGGAGGAAAATCAAGTAATACAGTCCCCTAAAGGACCTTTGAACATTTGTGAATAAAGTCTGTTGATGTCTAGATTTAACAAGGGTTCTTTTTAAAAATATAGGATGCTCTACACAATGTGTAGTATTTATTGTATAGGCTTTCTTGAAATGGAAATTTATTGCTATATATTTTGAATCCTTTCTTCTGTTCTGCTGTGCATATGGCATGCTTTTTTTCTTTTTCTTATTTTGTATTTAAGTTTCAACATTTAAGATTATAATGTTTCTTTTTCTTTTTATTATGTATTTAAGTTTCGGTAATAAAGAATGAAAAAAATAAATAAAAATATAGGATGATAACAATAACAGCTCATATTTCTTCAGCACTTTATGCTTTGGGGAATATGTTACTTCTGTAATCTTGTTTTCTCTTTACCACACCACCGTGAAGTTGGATCATAGGATTGCTGAGCTGGAAGGGACCTTGAAATTCATCTAGTCCAATTGCTTGTCTCATTTTAAAAATGAAGAAGGTAATGCCCAGAGAGATTAAGTGAATTGCTCAGTCACACCAGGTAGTAAAGCTGGGAACTGAGAGTAGGTCCTTTGATTCCAAATCCAATGCTCTTTCCAGTACATTCTATTGCCTTGGTAGCACATATATTATTATTGTTATTATTATTATTATTATTATTATTATTCCCATTTTCCAGATGAGGAAACAGGCTTTCCTTTATCATTAGGTGACTATTCTTTACTAAGCTTTCAGCTCATTTTACTGGCAATTTTCTATTAATTTTCATATCTGCTTTTCAAAGATGTAGATATTTTATTTAATTGTGTAAGTTTGACATTTGGGTAACCTAAGGGCTTAATCTTTTTTGTTCTCTTCCTTTTATTAGGAATCTTGGAGTGATGGTCTGCTCTTCCTTGTGTGATGTGGGTGGAATTGTAACCCCTTTTATTGTCTTCAGACTGACAGAAATTTGGTACAAGTTACCCCTTATTTTATTTGGTAAGATTTCATTCAATGCCATGGAAGATGGACTTTCTCTTCTGCCTAGTACAATTGACAATGCCTAGGGATGTTTCAAGTAACCAGGACAGTCATCAGAATCATAACTAAGGTGAGGTGACAGGGGCTTTTCTTCAGTGCATTGAAATTTAGAGGGTGTTGATAACATTTGCAATACTGCAGCAGCAGAGCAAAAAATACTGAACCTAGCACCTAGTTAGCAAGAAAAGTTTGTTAATATAGGAGCTAATCAGATGGCATGCATCTCTATCTGAAGAGCCTGAGGATATCTCAATATCTCCAACTCAACAGGTCCAACGCAGAATTTATTACCTTCCTCTCCTTCTTATTTCCTTATTTCTGTGAAGTGTTCCACTATTCTTCTAGTTCCCTGGATTCAAAGCCTTGAATCTAAGCTCAATTATTTACTCTCACTTAATCCCCACATCTATCCAGTTATTGAGTTTTCTCAGTTCTACCTCTACAAAATCTGTTGTGTTCAATCTCTTCTTTTCACTCATACCATAACTAACTTTATTCAGTCCCTCACCGTCTCTCATCCTGACCATTGCAATGGCCTCCTAATTGGTCCTACCATATGCAGCCTCTTCTCTCTGAATGTCATCCTCTACACAGCTGCCAAATTGATATCCTAAAGTCCAGGTCTGACCATGTCACTCACTTGGTGCTTCAGCAGTTTCCTATCACCCCCTGGATAAGATGCAAACTCCTTTGACATTTAAAGGCAAGTCACTCAACTCATATGTGCCTCGGTTTCCTCATCTGTAAAATGAGAATAATAGCTTTATCTGCCTCACAGGTTGTTGTGAGGATCAAATGAGTTAAATATGCAAAGTGCTTTGCAAAACTTAAAGTATTATATGAATGCTAGCTATAAAATATCATTATTCTATGATCTATTAATTTTTTGGGTAGAGTTGATTAATGAGCTAAAAGTCCATTTAACTATTCTCATTCAGTCTATATTTCTACATTTTGTCCACAAACATATCATAAGAGAGTTAGATGTACTAATAAGATGTACTAAAATTAAGATAGCCTACAATATTCTCTGATCTGCTATTCTAGTAACCCTATCCAAAAAACAAAAGATTAGAAGAGGTTGGCATTATTTATTTTTAGTGAACCTATTCTGGGTCCTGAGAATCATTGTCTCCTCTCCTAAGTGTTTACCTATGGTCTTGAATTTTCTGTTCTAGAATTTTCCCAGGAATTGAAGTAAGATCACCAACCTGTGGGTTCTGAACTATTGTATACTTATTTTACATGTTTGAAAATCAGGAAATTTGCCCATCTTTTATCTTTTTGTACCTCTCTCTGTATAATTAATTCCTCAAAGTTAAAAATAATAGATTAACAATAACATTGGCTAGTATTTCAGTCCTCTTTGATGTAATACATTCACCTTCAGAGACGTGAATATGTTTAAAACATCAAGACTTTCTTTCACCAACTTTCTCATTTATCTTGGGCAGAAAAGGCTTATCTTATTTGTCCTACTAAGGAATAGAAGAGAAACAATTTCTAAAAGACTTTTGTTGTCCTTAGCATTTTCCACAGCTTTGGTTTATTTTGGAAAGCTCTTCTGGTATTATTTTTATAGAATTGTGCCAGTATTCTGTCTTTGTCCTTGATTATATGAATCTCATGTACATGTCCTTCCACAATTGGAGTACATCAGGTAACAACCTCTATTGCTGTCATTAGCAACTAAATAGTTGCTATCATCAATCACTAGATTTTTCAGAATCCATCCATCTATCTATCTATCTATCTATCTGTCTGTCTGTCTGTCTGTTTTATTGGTGTCTTTTGTTTTATCACACTCATTTCCATATAAATGCCAGCAAGACAACAGCAAGCATCTGATAGTAAGTGCTACTTCTTGAACCCATAATCCCACACATCTCTGAAGAAAAAAAGAAAGTGTGTGCATTCCCTCCCCCACTTTCCTTATGGATCAAGATATTACATTTATATAGTATTCAACATTTACTCCCATCTTCCTTTCATTTATATTGTTGTAGTCATTGTGTAAATAATTTTCCTGATTCTGTTTATTTCACTCTGTATGAATTTATTCAAGTCTTCTCTAAATTCCTTATATCCATAAAATTTTTTTTTTTTTTTTGGTGAGGCAATTGGGGTTAAGTGACTTGCCCGGAGTCACACAGCTAGTGAGTATTATGTGTCTGAGGCCGCATTTGAACTCAGGTCCTCCTAACTCCAGGGCCGGTGCTCTCTTCACTGTACCACCTACCTGCACCTTGTCCATCAGTTCTTAATTAAAAATACTCTATTATATTCAGAGGACTATATATACCTAGCTGTGGAATTTCTGGATCAAAGCAACAGTTTAGTGACTTTTCTTATGTAATTTCAAATTATTTTCTAGAATGGTTGGACTGCTTCACAGTTTATTTGTGTGCCCATCTTCCGATGACTTTTCCAACACTGGCTATTTCCAACGTTTGCCATCTTTGACAATTTGTTTGTTGTGAGTTGAAACCTCAGAGTTGTTTTAACTTGAATTTCTCTTATATAGTTATTTGAAGCAACATTTCATTTAGTTATTGATAGTTAGCAGTTTTTTTTGAAAACATTTTATATTTTTTTCTTATCTTTTGGAAAAAGACTCTCAATCTTATATATTTGTGCCATTTCCCTATATGTCTTAGATATCAGACTTTTATCAGAAATATTTGCTGCAAAGATTATTTTTCTCCCAATTGAAAATTTCCTTTGTCTCAGTTACATTTGTTGAAGCAAAACTTTACATTTTATGCAGTCAATTTTTTTCTCTTTTCTCTTTTATGATCGCTCCTATCTCTTGTTTGATTAAGAATTCTCCTCATAGTCAGAGATGTGAAAAGTACCGCCTTCCATTCTCCTCTAATTTTTTAATGATATAACCTTTTATATTTAGATCATGTAACCATTTGGAACTTACTTTGACATATAAGAGGCTGATTTAAACCCATATTTTTCCAAATTGTTTACCAAATTTTCCAGGTGTCCTTCCCCTAGAGATTGGTTTTATTACATTTATTGAGCAATGGGCTCTGCTATTAAATAGTTTCAAATTCCTACTTATCTAATCTATTCCTTTGATCTACTTTCCTATTTTTAATCATTATCAAATAGTTATCATGTTTATTGCTTTATAACAAAGTTTGAAGTCTTGAAGTTCTATGTCTCCTTCTTTCCTATTTTTTTTCCATTATTTCCCTTAAGATTTAAGAGCTTTGGTTGTTTCAAATAAATTTTTTTGGTCTAGGTCTATCAAGTAACCCAAGAGTGGTTTGGTATAGCACTAAATCAGCAAATTAATTGAGTCATTATCCTTTTTAAAATATATTACATTGGTACAGCCTAACCATGTGCAATGAATATCCCTTCAATTATATGTCTTCCCTTTAGGTTCAGTATTGGTTTAACAAACATTTATTAAGAGCATGTCACACATGATACCTTGTTCTGGGTTTCACAGGAATTAGAAATGTAAATAAGAAATGTTTCCATTGCTCAAGAATTCTTATTTTTCTTTCCTTGGGATAATTTTTTTATTGTATTGCCAAAATCAATAAGATTTGGCAATTGGTTGGATATGGGGGGGGGTAGGGGATAGAGGACAAGGGCATGACAGAAATGGAAGAGTCAAAGATTAAACCGAAACTATGAAACTGGGTGACTAAAATGATAGTGTCCTTGACAGAAAGAGGGAAGTTTGGGGGAAAGTTCATTTGTAGTTCTACTTTGGACAATTTAAATTTGATTGGGATTTATACAGATAGAGATGTCTACCAGGAAAGTGGCAATGTGTGGCTGGAGTTCAGAAAGTTCATGAAAGAGATTAGGGCTGGATACCAAAAATTTGAGAGTTATTTCAATTGATAATATAATTGAATCATGGGAGCAGATTAGATTGCCAACAGAAAGTATATATAGAGAAATGATGAATGATTAGGCAAATAGATCAGGAGAGGAAGAATATAACAAAAACCAAGGTACAGAGGATGGCTGAAAAAATGCAAAGAATTCATGAAGGATGAAGATTGATAAAGGGTCATTGGATTTAGCTATTACAAGACTGCTGGCAACTTTGGAAAGAGAAGTTTCAGTCAATTGGGGTTGAAAGTCAGATTGTAAAGAATGGAGAAGCAAATGGGAGGTAAGAAGGTGAAGGAAGCAAGTCTAAATGTTTCTTTCTGGGAGTTTAGCTGTTAAAGAAGGCAGAACAATAGCTTAACAGGATAGATAGGATTAAATGATAAATAGGTAGAGGGTTTTTTTTCAGAAAGAGAAAGAACTGGGCATGTCTGTTGGCATTGTGGAAAGAACTAATAAGTAAGAAGAGAGTGAGAAGGAAAGAAAGTGAGCAAGAGAGAAGTAAGGAAGGGGAGAGAATTATTGAAAGCATAAATACCTATAGGAGGTGGGAGAGGCAGGGATCAAGGTCACAAATTGGCTGTGGCAAAAAGGACATCTCTTCCTCAGAGACTGGAGCAAATGAATAGAAGATGGGGAGGGGAGATGTAGAAGATTTGAGATGCATAGTAAGGGAGAAGAGGAAACTCAGGGCAAATTGCTTCAGTTTTCTCCAGGAAAGTTGGAGATGAGGTCCTGAGATGCCAGAAATGGGAAAGAAGGACATTGATGTGAAGGAAGTTTAGAACAAACCCTGTTGGAAATGAGAAATGGAGTAATTCAGAATAAAAAGACCACAATATAGCAATGAGGCCCAGCTGAAGTTAGATGACTAACATTTCTAGTGAATCTAATCCCAATCTTAGATTATATTATTTCCTCCTGACATGTTCAGCAGCATGGGAATAGGAGCAGAGAAAGAAACTCATGGGGGTAAATCAGGGCATGCAACTTTTGGGACAGCTACATGGCATAGTGAATAGAGCGCTGGGCCTGGAATCAGTAACACTCATCTTCCTGAGTTCAAATTTGGGCTCAGATACTTTCTAACT